AATAAAACTAGTTTCAACATTGGAAACCTGTTTTTAACATAAATAATGCTTTTCAAACAATGTTTCCTTAATAGATTTCCAAACTATAGGCCCCAAATAATCTTCCCCAATGCATCCATTTTAAAATGTATTAATGTAAAAGTATGCAGAGTTTATTCACGTAGTGCATATCGAATCCATAAATAAGTCTGTGTGCACATAAAGGAAATGCCTTTGTTGATATTTTATTATATTCACATAAAATTTTGGATGGATATAATGAGATGCTATCTAGAAACAAAGTCTAGAACAGAAAATAATCTCCACATAAAATATGTCAGGCTTGAAATAAAATTTAGTAATCAAATTTCAAGGCTCCAGAATGAAAGCCTACTTCTTTAAGTTTTTATTTTTAATTTCTGTGGGCATCTAGTAGGTATATATATCAATGGGGTACATGAGATGCCTTGATTCAGGCATACTATGCATAAAAATCACTTCAGGGTAAATGGGGGATCCATCACTTCAAGCATTGATCCTTTGTGTCACAAACAATCCAACTAGACTCTTGTAGTTATTTTTAAATGTACAATAAATTTATTGTTGGCTGTAGTTACCCTGTTGTGCAAAAGGTTTTATTTTTTTCTTTTCTTTTCTTTTTTTTTAGACAGAGTCTTGCTCTGTCGCCCAGGCTGGAGTGCAGTGGCGCGATCTCCGTGCACTGCAAGATCCCGGGTTCATGCCATTTTCCTGCCTCAGCCTCCCGAGTAGCTGGGACTACTGGCGCCCATGCCTGGCTAATTTTTTTTTTTTTTTTTGTATTTTTAGCAGAGACAGGGTTTCACCGTGTTAGCCAGGATGGTCTTAATCTCCTGACCTTGTGATCCGCCCGCCTCGGTCTCCCAGAGTGCTGGGATTAAAGACGTGAGCCACTGCATCAGGCCCAAAAGTCCATTTTTAAAGCAATAATTAAAATATAATTGACAAGGGATGCTGACACATCCCTTCCCAACTATCAGACTTGCTTCTCTTTAACTCATTCTATCTCACTAATTGAAGAGTTTAATAAGAACTAAAAAGTTATGACACTATAGTTAATACTCATGGGATCTCTCCCTTTTACTTGACTGCTCACAACTACTATAGGTTATATTTTCACTATTTTTTGTTGTTTAGACAAGTTGACTACTAGTCATTTTAGAGCGATTTGTCTTCCTGAAAAAAATCTCAAGTAACTTAAAACAACAGTGATGCTGTATTTCATGAACACATTAGAATTCAATCCATAGAAGCAAAATGAGCAGGAAGCATGAGAAAAAGATAAATATTTAGTTTAACTCAGATAGGCCTCATCTCCAATTTAGTTCTTCTTAATTGAATAGCTCTATATGCTCTTCATTCTAAGAGCTTTATTAACATTCTTTAGGAGAATGAATAGGTAACCACATACACATACGTATCTAAATGTGAAGAGGAAGGTAAAGGTACCTCTACTGATATCCAGAATCATAAAAGCCAAAATTTAGCTGGATTTTCAATAGCTACAACTACAGTTATGTATATTAAATAACTGTCAATAGAACAAAGCAGGAACAGATGGACAAATCCGTGTAGACACACAGCATTTATGACCAGACTACTCATAAATCACTCAGAAGTAAACATCTCTTCTGGCTATCTCCTTAATAGTTTCCACTATGTCTCCTAAAAAAGTAAATTGAACTTTAGTTATTTAACGCTAACAATAGCATACAACTAATGAGTATAGCCAGATCATAATTACAGGAAAGAATTAAAAGGTAAAAAAAAATTTTTTTTAACATATTTCCCAGGACCTTCTCTAGCTTTCAAGTCACTATGCAGAAATCAAATTATTTTTACTTCTTTAATGAATGGAAAAAAATATATTTTTAGATCATCATTATGCACATCTCCCCCAGTAAAGACTGATATCAAATAAAGAAAGGCTGCTTCCAGGCTGAGCCATCCTTTGCCTCCCTCAAGTTCCTTACAATGACCTAGGGAAGTAACAGAGGGAGGCTGAAAATTTTCTAAGCAATGGTATTAACAAGATTTAGAAATAACAAAGTGCTATATAACTGAAATTCAAGGAATTATTTTTATCATTCAATTCAAATAATTGCTCAATCCCAGTATAACTAACACAAGCAGTTTTTTCTTAAGCTACATCCCTTCGGCTCTGTGCCACCTATTGCGGACTCATTTTCTCCCTCAAGTCATAATCTGACATCCATTTTCATCTAATTTCACCCATGTAAATATGTTATGAAAAGGGACACAAACAAACGTGTTCTTACCACCATCACTACCTACAAGAGTCCTGACAGGCTGGTCTAATTACATACTGAGATTAAACTGACACTGAAATTATCAACATGAAATCAAGAAGAGTATTTGGAAAGGAGGGGCAGGCTTCAACAAATATGCAAAAGGAGAGTGGGTCCAGAACACGATTAAAATATCTTTGAACTCTCCCCTAGATTTCTCTGCAATCATAACTCGCCATCAAAAGGATCTTCTTGGATCTAGTCTGGCCTCTCTTCCTACAAAGTCTATGCTGTACCATTCTGTCATCCACATGCCCAGAGTCCCTCAGACTTTTTAATCATGTCTGGCTAAATGCTGCCTCCTCAGTCTAAATAATAGGGATAATAACAGCAACAACAATAAATGTGTCGATTTCTCAATATGCATCAAGTATTTCACGTGTATTTTCTTATTTAGTCTTTTCAATAGCCCCACAAAGTAGGAGATAATATTTATGCTGCATTTTACAAAGAGGGAAAACCAATGTTTAAAGAGATTATGTCACCTGCATGAGTCACACAACTGGTAAGTGGCAGAGCAGAGGCCCAATCCCAGATCTGTCTGGTTCTAGAGTCCATTACCTTAACCACAAAGCTCTACAGTGTCTGTAGATACAGCTAAAAGTGCTCTAAGAATCATTTAGTCTAAGTCTTCCATTTAACAAATCAGGGACTGAGGATCCAAAGACTCTGGCATGGTCTCTTATAAGCCCTAACTCCAAATGAATGCATCATAGCATTAAACATATCCACAGCTCAATCCTTTGGCTTCAATGACTAATTTCCCTGATTCCCCACTAAACTATCGCTCTGACTCTCTTACTGACTCGTTTCTCTGTCCACATTCTAAATATCAGCATTCTGTAGGAATCCATCCTCAGCCTCCCACCTGGTTAGGTTATTCCAGGGCTTTACAGCCTTCATAAGGCAATGCCCAAACTGATAAGCACATCTAATCCCAGCTCCCAGCTCCTCCCTCTCCGTCTGATGAACATATGATAGACCCCATTCCTTTAAATATCCACTTTACACCTATAATTTGCATCCATCCCAAGCTTTCAGTTACAGACTCAGAAATCCCAATTTCCTACTTGACGTCTCATAGACTATACTCATGTGTAACCAAAGTTTAACTCCATCTTTTATAGCAAACATGCACCATCTCCTGCAATCCTTCAGCCCCAGCTGTCTTCCCCTGAGGCAGAAACAAGATGGTGCTGGATTTGATACCTTCTCTCACAGTCTGTATCTAGTTCTCCCCTAAACCCATCGCTTTTATCTAAATGTCTATGATGCAAGTAAACTTCTCCATTCTGATGGCATTCTCTGGGCTAAGTTCTTAGATTTTGTCACATGAATTACTGCATTTCATTTCCTGACTTAGATTCTCCCCACCTCTAATCTAAGCTCTCCTTGCCTAACAGAGTTACTATTTTAAAGGAGAACTAACTATTCCACTCCCATCCCCACATCCCTTCCTAACAACCTCAGAATAAAAACCTACCCACGGGAATGGCACTGAGGATCTTTCTCTTGTCTACTTTCCACCTTTTCTTCCATTTTCCCCCTCATCACTCTGGAATAATTGCTGTTCCCAGAATATACTTGCCATCTCTCTAGTTCTTAAGTTTATACTTGTGTTTGAAACTAATTCCTTCATCCAAGTGGCTTACAATCTCCGTTATCTTTTATACAAACCCTACTGACACCATCGACATCTTCCTCCTAAACCTACTGAAAGCGGCATTTTTAGCTTACGGAATGTTTCCAGGGGATGTATGTCACTCTCGACCATCATCTAGGTCTACCTGGGAACAGAGGTTAAGACCCAGTACCCAGGTTTCAGAGGTACTTTTCCTGAGATTATGCAGCTGGTTAAATGGCTATTAATTTTCTAAATGGTCCCTATATATTTGTATTAAATTATAAAAATAAATAATCATTAACTAATAGTTACCTAAGTGTCCATGCTAATATGACAGATATCCACTAAAAGATTTAAAGATATGTAACAAACCATGCATACAATGCCTTCTCTCACTGCAATCTCTTATTTACATATTCATCTTACTACATTCATTAATTTGTGAGGTAGAGCAGTAGCAATCAAACTATCCTAAATATTTTTATGGTTTTGTAATATTTGTGCACTTTTCTCAGTAGATTCATACTATTTTAATCTTGTCCCAGTGCCAAATAAATTAACATGAGAGAGGTATTATATCACACTAAATATGAAAGAAAGTGATCAATTCTATCATCTGTATCAATAAATGAGAGGTCATAGCAAAGGGTCCTAAAATTGTACGCAATTTGAGAACTCTGACTTCAAAACTGAGTTTGAGATTACACATTCTAAAAAGAAAATTAATCAAAACTAATGAGCATTTAGTGAAGTTCTAAGTAGTTTAATGCAATGTGGTCACTCTTTCCGGTTGGTTTATTTTGTTCAGCGTTTCTTAATACGTTTTAATTATACAAAAATCTTCAGTTCTTCTATTGGTAGGTAACAGAAATATAACATGAGAAAAAGCTAAGCGGGGGCAACAAATGGATCACTTCAGTGAACCAATGAATGTCAGTAACCCATCCTGTATGATGCTACTGGCCTGAACAAATAGATCCCTAGTTTTTAAAAACATTACATCAAAGCAAAACAGTGCAAGTCTCAATGCAATGAGCTCGGGTACCAACCTCCGCTGCTCTTCACCATGTTCTCCTGAAGGGACAGTGAGACACTCGTCCATGTGTCCATGCAGCAACCTGAGGACATCACCACCAATGAGATACCCTGTAAAAATTAAAAATCATTCAGTTTGGACTGTCAGGGTCAGACGTTGTTAACTGGACAGATCATCTGGTCCAACCTACTTTCATAAAGAAACTGAAGTCTAGTGGATCTTAAGGACCTAGTCAAGGTCACAGAGATAGACTGTGCCTGCTGCTCCCTCTGAGTCCCAGGTGCCCAAGTCCCACAGTTAGGGATATTCCCACTAAAAGCAGGACCTCAAACACATAAAATCCTCTGTTAAACACACAAACACATTTCAATCAGATGTGAACCTATATAAGTTGTAATAGCCAGAACATATACAGATATTTCCCTAGGAAACCCTGATTCTTTGTAAAATTCCTGTTCCGGCTATTGACCTCAGAAAACAAGAAATCTTGACATTAGTCCAACTAGGCAACACCCTGAGGTCAAAAAATTGAAGAAAACAACCCATAGGAAGCTATCACGGAAAGCACACACAAATAAACTAAAGCTGACAGTAGCATAAAAATAATGGAAGATTAATCTTCACCCAAGCTTCACTTTTAAAACAGCAATTTCAACAAGATCCTCAAATGTCAGGTATGCACATTACAGAATATTTAGACACAGACAAAAAGTTCTAATTAACAATCAGCTCATTATCACAATTCCAAAGATGACCATCAACTTTGCATCAAGGACAGGCCATCTAATTGAAGTGGAGTTTTTACCTTGGGCTGCCTCACTTCCTGAGCTGATTGGGGCCACGCTCCAGAGAGTCTGCTGGAAAGCGGCATCCACGTGTAAGCTGCCATTGCCGTAAGACAAGTGCTGTATCAAGAGGCAAAAGAAGGCATCACTTCAGGCTCTGGTAAGCTGTAATATGTAAGCGCTTCTAGCAATGCAAACTTAACATTGCTGATTTGGTTATGTTCATAGAGAACATCTGTTTCAACCTGTCATTCAAGAATCAAAAAACTAGTCAGAAGAAAAGAAGCTCCTCTCTGAATTTAGGGATTTTAAAACTTCATTCGAACAGTTACTGACTTAAGTCAATAATCAAAATATGCATAAATGAATACACTAAATAAGTTTATTTGTAACAAGATACTATTTTTGTTTTAAGGGTGATTGATGAACAAAATGAGCACTTAAAATTATAATTGGGTTTTCCACATATCACACTCTGACAGCTTTTTGATGATGAAGTAAGTGAAATCTATTGGACCAAGTTTATTGAGTCTTCATTTTATGAAGTCCTTAGGCATCTTACAGGGTCTTTTACGGAGTCCTTCAGGAACTGTTATCTGCAATTTGATACAAAAGCCATTAGATGGCGATATTTCCTAATAGCTATCTAAAACCAAGCTACATTTCTTCCAAAATTCAGGTATTACCAAATTTCAGATTTTCCTTCTTAGAAATAGAAACATATTAAAATAAAATATACTTAATATCTTTTAGAGCCATAAGATTGAATTATCGAATGTTAACTAAGAAAAACAAAATTATGAGTACAGCCATATGCCTTGCTTATTTTACTAATCATTACTAGGCTGCCTCTAGAATTTCAAACATATATACAGCAAGCACCTGTTTTCGTAGAGTCTTCTCAGTAAACATCGCCAATATCCCTGCAATGTTTCTGTAACACTTTGCCAATGCTGATGATAGCCTAAGATTTCACAGACTTTAATCAGACCAGAAATCTTGACCATCTTAGTTAGATGAAGATCAGTCACAGCCTAAAGTAGTCACCTTAGGTGTACTCCAGAGGCCTTTTAAACATCCTAAGGATCTCTTCAACATAAAGATACTATTCTCAAGTCACCATCAAGAAGAGGTCGTTCACTCTCTTTCTCTTAAAAATAAAACCAAAGAAACTTTTAACATTGTGATATGTATATAGGGTTTATCAGTCGTTTTTCCAATTAGTAAGACTGAAAGTTTACCAGCTGATACATAAGATTTAGCAATAATTTGCTCTTATGCCTCTCCTCAACCTCAGCTAGCTGCCTGCTTTTGTACAATTTCTTCTTCACTTCAATCTGTCATTCTTACATGTAATCCCAGCTAAGATTCCTTTATTGACTCAATTTCTTCTCCAATATGTTAAAACTGTTTGTTTACAAATAAATCATATCCCACCTGCTTTCACAAACAAGCAGAATATATTTCCCTTCAAAGCAATTATCACACAATGAAATTCTTGGGATTATTTCCTTTTTGCCTTTTAGAAGTTACCTGACACAGGTTCACAGCTGTATTCCTAGCATCTGGCAATGTTATCCAACAAACATGTATGTGGAGAAGATAACCAAAATCATAAAATCAAAAGTACCATAAACTTAAAAATACATATTTTAAGCTATTCCATAAATACTATTTCAATAACTTAGTGTAAAAAAAAAGCACGTGCACATGCGCACACACTTACATATCCATGTGAATGACACCGATTTTAACCACACTCTGAAAACAATTCAAAATACCCGTGCTTATATTTGTGACCAAGTGAAAGCTCATGTAATATTATGATACGTAGATTATCATCATTTGTTAATTCATCATGGGTTCACTGAATGTAATATGTATATTAATAGTATACATTCTCCACCCCAAGGGTGCTTGTAATCTCATAGAAAAAATTCATACACGAAATGCTGTACCTCAGTATATAAACGTATCACGTGATATTTTGATACGTGCACACAGTGTGCAGTGATCAAATCAGAGTAATTGAGATATCTATCACCTCAAACATTGCATGCTACACTTTTTATATACTGAGGTACAGAATTTTGTGCATGTATTTTGTGTATGTATATGTATGTGTAAAATATATACATATTTATAGGCTACATGTGGTATTTTGTATCAATTATGTATAAAATTATGTACCAATTAAATTAAAAAATAAATAGGGCTGGGCATGGTGGCTCATGCCTGTAATCCCAGCACTTTTGGAGGCCGAGGCGGGCGGATCACGAGGTCAGGAGATCGAGACCATCCTGGCTAATATGGCGAAACCCGTCTCTACTAAAAATACAGAAAATTAGCCGGGCATGGTGGTGGACACCTGTAGTCCCAGCTACTCGGGAGGCTGAGGCAGGAGAATGGCGCAAACCCGGGAGGCAGAACTAGGAGTGAGCCAAGATCATGCCAGTGCACTCCAGCCTGGGTGACAGAGTGAGACTCCATCAAATAAATAAATAAATAAATAAATAAATAAATGGATCTGGAAGGTGGGGAAAAGCCTTTAAAAATGCTGTGTAAATCGTAATCAATGTGCTACAGGAATTGTAAGAAGAGAACACTCCAGACAACAAAATGAGAGCGGAGTTTCTCATGGGTTGGGGGCTTTGAGGGAGGCAGTAGGATCACTTGGCCTGTGTCTCACGTTTATATCTTTGGAGATGCTGCCCCCAAACAAGTGTCTACATACATTGGATTTGAGTATGTGGATTAATAATGTGAATGTGCTATGTGCAAATACGTAAAACATACCAAACATTTTTGTAAACCATTTGGGAATTTTTATTTTTAACATACCAGAAACCTTGCTATCGGAAGTGGGCTGAGCCCCCTGGCCCTCTCAGAAGTTCTGAGAAGGGAAATGTGTGACAAGGGGAATGTGTTGAAGACAAGAGTGTGAGCACAAAGGTGGAGATACGGGGACATACATTACAGCCCAGAGCTTCGTCTTTGGAGCTGACAGCACATGCTAAGAGGTGGAATCACTGATAGGCCCACAGACAAAGGCTGGCGCCAGGCCAACGACCTTCTATTTTAGGCAATAAGGTGTTTACAGCAGTGACAAAATAGGGTCAGGGAGTTAAAAAAGCCATTTCCAAATCATATATATGCCTGAAGATAAACAATAAATATGAGAGAACCATAAACATGAAAATTTCAGTCTGTGGGAAAAAGTCCCAAATATGTCCTTAAGATTATATTATAATCACAGAAAGTTCTCTAAATAAGGTCTACTCTTCGAAAGAAAATATTCTATTTTGAACGCTTCCAAGTTTGCTGCTTAAACAGCAAAGGGAAGTCTGGGTAAAAACTACATCACGTCAGGCTTGTGGTATGCAATATTCAGAAAGCAACAACAGTTTCAATTACTGAAATTGGGATGAATTATCCTTAAAGCAAAAACAGACATTGGCAGAGGATGAAAGCCAAGTTGGCCTTAGGCTGAAATATGGAACCACTGTAGGATTTACAGGAAAATATGGTAGCATCAATCCACCAACAGCAGTACAGGGGCTTTGGCCACCAACCTCTGGGCACCCAGGTCTCACTTTGATCCTAGGATTAGTGATTTTCAAGCTCTAATAGGCACATGAATCTTCAGAAGACACCGTATTTAAAAATGTAGATTGGAGGGCCAGGTGCAGTGGTTTACACCTGTAATCCCAGCACTTTGGGAGGCTGAGGCGGGTGGATCATGAGGTCAGGAGTTCAAGACCATCCTGGCTAACACAGTGAAGCCCCATCTCTACTAAAAATACAAAAAATTATCCAGGTATGGTGGCAGGCACCTATAGTCCCAGCTACTCGGGAGGCTGGGGCAGGAGAATGGCGTGAACCTGGGAGGCAGAGGTTGTGCTGCAGTGAGCCAAGATCGCACCACTGCACTCCAGACTGGACGACAGAGCAAGACTCCATCTCAAAAAAAAGAAAAGAAAAAAAATGTAGATTGGAATGCAGAGTAGTCGGAGGGTTTGTCAATCAAGACTGCTGAGCCAAGAGTAACAAGACATTACATGAAAGAAGCACAACATCTCAGAAATGGAAGGGACATGATAAATCGCCTTACACAGATTATACTTTGATACCTTTAGTTTCCTTTCTGATTCATTTATTTTATGCATTTTACCATTTTTATGATGAAATCAATGAGTTTTATCAGCCTGCAATGGAAGTCCATGGTACAAAAACTTCGTACCAAGAATCTCTGAATTGAACCCTTATCTGATGCAATGATTCCCTCATTTATTCATCTTTTATTAAACTTCCAGGTACTTCGGCCCTGGTGATGCAACATTCTGAATACATTGTCATTTAGGGACAGGAAACACAAGTAAACAAGTCATATTACTCCTTAGGCATCAGTTTTTTCTTCTGAAAAAAAATAAATAAATAAATGAGGGGCAGAGAAACAGTTGTTCTTTCCAAATGTAATATTTTATGGTTCCATTACCTGAGCCACAGAGGAAAGAAAGGCTCAAGGCAAATCAATCAAAACTGAATTGGTTCATATAGTAAATCATTCGAAAATATTTATGATCACTCTTTTATCATTATTTTCACACAACTTGAGGCAATTCAGCAATTTATTATGCAATCAATAATTACCCATATTTTGTATTAGACAGTTAGAGGTGGGTAAGAAAGAAGTAAATTTTTTGAACTGTAGAATAGCTTTCTCTTAAGCATTTTCTCATAATCACCCTTCAGATTAAGCATTCTGTTTTTCCCAATATATTTTCAATCAGTTGTTTGTTTGGCAATGTTTTCACAGATCTGAAAAACTTGGCCTGTTTCATTAAGTAACCTGATGAGTAGAAAATCAGTTGGAAATCTACATTTCCAGAGCAAACAATCCAATCCTCAGACTGAAAACATTTGTACATACTGGAGTGATTTTTACACCTAACACACAGAAAAAAATTGTTTTGTAAGTTTTATTTTGTTTAGTTTGAAATAAATTCAGTCAGTAATATCTACTTGGCCATGTTTTCTCTATTTTAAATTGTATATTTCTCTGAAGGTGCTTTGCTAAGGCCTTCTTTAAAAGAAAATAAGATTTTCAATGAGCAAAAAAATTTCTTTCCTTTTGGATATTTTTGAAAAGAAGATTAATGTATCATTTGACATTAGGATATAAAACAGCAAAAATGAGAAAAGACATTATCTGGATGAGGCGTTTACAATCATTTTTAGAGGCTGAGACCCTCTATACCTCAGAAATTGTGCCCCAGTGTTCAATGTATACAGCAGACAACAGTGGATCAATCCCAGGTGCCATCCACAGCATCCTCTGCTGTCCACAAGGCATCTTCTCAGAGGACAGGGTGAAAACCAACCCTCCAAACCAGCTCTCATCAATTTAGCATTGTAATAGTTGTAAGCTTTATGAATGTACCCCATGCACTATTAGTTTAATCTTAGCTTAACCATCACTGTGAGTGAAAGAAAAATCCTTCATCGGTCAATAGACACCGATGACTACAGAGCTGTAAAATCAATGACTGGGAATGTTTATTTTTAGAAGGTAGTTTTAACTAATTTGTTATCAGACATTTTTAAACTTACTTATTTTTAACAACATCAGCACCTCCTCAGAAGATGAACCTTGCTTTCACCTGATAGATCTTTATTTAATATCACCTATAATATTCCTTCCACTGTCTTCTTCTAGTTAAACATCTGTTGTTTCTTTAAGCACTTTTTTTTTTTTTTTTTTTGAGATGGAGTCTCAATCTGTCACCTAGGCTGGAGTGCAGTGGCATGAGGCATGGTATCGGCCCATTGCAACCTCCACCTCCCCAATTCAAGCGATTCTCCCACCTCAGCCTCCTGAGTAGCTGGGATTACAGGTGTGCACCACTAAGCCCAACTAATTTTTTTTTTTTAAGATGGAGTTTCACTCTTGTCGCCCAGGCTGGAGTGCAATGGTACGATCTCAGCTCACTGCAACCTCTGCCTCCTGGGTTCAAGCAATTATCCTGCCTCAGCCTCCCGAGTAGCTGGGATTACTGGCACCTGCCACCACGCCTGGCTAATTTTTGTATTTTTAGTAGAGACGGGGCTTCACCATGTTGGCCAGGCTGGTCCTGAACTCCTGACCTCAGGTGATCCACCCGCCTCAGCCTCCCAAAGTGCTGAGATTACAGGCATGAGCCACCAGGCCTGGCCTAATTTTTGTATTTTTTTTAGTAGAGACAGGGTCTTGCTATTTTGGCTATGCTGGTCTTGAACTCCTGGCCTAAAGTAATCCGCCCACCTTGGCCTCCCAAAGTGCTGGGATTACAGGCGTGAGCTACCATGCCCAGCTTCTTTAACTATTCTTAACAGGCACAAATCTCCCAAGTAAATAGTGACAGTAACTTACTAAACAATTTTTATGTGCCATTCACAGAACTACAAGCCTTGTTGGATTCCAGCATTTAATCCCATAACACCCCTATGAGTTAAGTTCTTTATTATTTCCCAGACTCCAGATGAAGGAACTGAGGGTTTCTAAAGGTTACATGATTAGCCCAGGTTCATACTCACCAGACTTTGTATATATAAACAAATATATATATGTGTGTATACATATATATACACACACATATATATGTATACATATACACACACACACAGAGTCCATCTTTAGTTATTCAGGGTTTATTCTACAGATTATTTCAACTATTTCTGCCTATCCCAAAGTCCTTTCACTAACTCACTTCTTGATCTTTCAATTTCTCTAGATCCTTTTCACTGAGTCCTCCAAATAAATCTTTGAATCCACACCATAGTACTTCATATACGCGCTACTAATCCACCACGGTGGGAATGTAAGATAATAATTCACCATCTCTATACCCATAGGAATGTCCCTCAGCATCTCCAAGCTACACTGTAATGCGTATTTACTGTCTTACAGTATCCTCATACAGCTCTGTATGTGTTTGATTTGTTTTCTCCACTAATTATTTGAGGATAGAAAGCATGAGTAATGTGGCCTTGGCCTTTCCTGTTGTTTCTGCCATATGCCAGGTCCATAGAGATGAACACTAAAAGCAACGACTTCATTACCAAATGAAAGCGAAATTTGAACAACCTGGTTGGCCGCTCTCTTGTAGCTCCATATGAAAGGTTACCAGGAAAGAGAACATAAATAATTGGCTATGTAGCACAGGCTGGGCAAGGTGTGGCTCATCCCTATAGTTCCAGCCACTTGGGAGGCTGACTGGGAAGAATAGGAGGTTGAGGCTTCAGTGAGCTATGATCGCCACAGTACTCCAGCCTGGGCCACAGGGCAAGACCCTGTCTCAAAAAATAAATAAAATAAAATAAAATAAAATGTAGTTTGGAAATCACTCATAAATTTTAATTAATCATGAGGTGTATTTCCTTCCATAGGAGGTAAATCTCATGTATCATCATTATTATTACTTTCACTTGTATATTGCTTTTTAATTCTGCCCATATTTAAATCCATTATCTCATTGCTTCCTCACAATAACCTTGGTGCTATGTATTATTATTAGCATCAACCTCATTTTTTACAGATGAGAAAGCCAGAGTTCAGAGAATTAGATGACTTTCTCAGGTGGTTAGTTGTAGAATAGATAGATAGATAGAACAGTCCTGGCCCTGTGAGGTCTGGATTTTTAATTTTTCAGTTCATAATGATGCCATCCTGTCAAGTAAACTCTGATACATAGCGGAAGTACAAATTGTACAACAACAACAACAATAAGAAAAAATTCATAGTTATGTTGAAATCAAAATAGAATATGTGTATAATTTACATATTAAAAAGTGTGCATGAATTATTTCTACTGCTATTGGTTTCTAGGTATAACTGCAATTCAAAATGCATATCTGATCAAAACACATCACTTTAACATACATAGCACATGGCATATAGCAAGGACTTAATAAGTGCTTATTTTACAATCTGCACACCTGTATTGTCTTAGAAATTCACATGGTGACTATTTCTATCTACACTGGTTAAGGGACAAAAGTAGAGAAACACTCCAGGCCTCCCTAATAGCTATGCAACATCACACACTCCATTTAATTTAATAGTTTCTGTCATTTACACGAGACACTGTTATACCATTTCCTTGTCTTCATCATTACCTCTTCTACAAGGCAAGTGAAATAAAACAAAACCAATCTTCCTAGAAATGTTTCAAATCTGGAATTAAGAGTATTGGTAAACCAAAACTGACTTACAACACTCCCAAACTTACCCTAGTTCATGTTTATAGAACAAGGGAGTATCAACTACTTACTTAATCCTAAACCAGTAACGCATGAACTACATTTTGATTTATGGTCATGGTAAAACACTTTCCATACCCCAGTATCTGCTAAATTGCCATGTGCCCTATTTCAGATTTTTGTTTCAATCATCACACACGGTGATGTCTGGGATTTTTCACGTGAATATTCATATAAAGTTTACAATGCCCCATTTCATATTTATGTAGTCACTTTTCAACCTTAAAATGAATATTTTGCTCTAGCATCCTTCACATCTTTATTTCAACTTACTTCATTTCAATTTACTGTAAATTTCTGTATTGGACTATTCTCTGGCAAAACTACAACTTACTAAATCAGTTAAATTAAATACATATTGACCTCACCACAAAAGTTCAAAATGCATGTGATGTGCTTTGGCTGTGTCCCCACCCAAATCCTACCAGTGGGAGGTAATTAAATAATGGAGGGCAAGTCTTTCCCATGTTCTCACGATAGTGAGTAAGTCTCATGAGATCTAATGGTTTTAAAAAGAGGAGTTCCCCTACACAAGCTCTCGTCTCTTGTGTGCTGCCACGTGAGACGTGTCTTTCACCTTCCGCCATGACTGTAAGTCCAATAAACCTTTTTCTTTTGTAAATTGCCCAGTCTTGGGTAGTCTTTATCATCAGCATGAAAACAGACTAATACAACATTTAATGATTAAACACAAACTTCTTTCTTCATTCTCCCATTTCCAGCCCCTACTCTTTGAAACAATGCAATGTCAATGACAGACTTCAAACTGTTTCTTATTTTGTCCATTTCTCCTTTCTTAACAAGGCAAGTGTTCCTCACATAATAATTTGCTTTCATAAATATCAAAAGAGGTAATCACAACCTCATTAATATAGACTTTTCATCAGGTGCAAAATAAAGACCATGGAATTTTTAATTCCTAATTAGACTGCATTTACATTCTATTAATAAAGTAATTTATTAAAAGGTACTATCGATATCATGAACGTGCATATGAAGGTCACAAGGGAAGCCTGCCTGAACAAACGTGATATTCCACTCACTGTATTTCCACTCACATCACATTTTTCTTCTATTTAGGAAAGTATTTATAATTAATCTAATAGAGATAGAGGAATGGTTATAAGCAATTGTCGTAGACAATTTACAATATAAACCTTAAAGAGATCATTTTATTGACTTGTCATTTAGCATATCACCAGATACATGATTCTACTTTCCACACTTACCAAGTACCTTTCAGAGGACACGCTAACTAAGATGAGGTCATCTCCAACTCGTACTTTTTCTCCTTCTGATCGCTGCTTAGAGGCAGGGTGTATGGTCCACCAACAAGCCTCCCCTGCAGAGATATGGATATGTGAAACACAAAAAAAGTTCCTCTTAGTTAAAATCTATTTTCTTTGCCAATGATTCCAAACAAACAACTTCCAGAAATCGGGAATTAATGCAAATTAATCTCTTACACCAGGAAAAGAGAAAGAATTAAGCCTTAGCTTAGGATAAAATAAGATTCTTTTCATAGAAACTGGGTGTGACACTTACGGAATGCTGATGCCTTTTTCTTCCACGAAGAATTGCTTTAAATGGATATTTATTTATACTCATGTAAGACAAAATTCACCACTCACACTGATCTGATTTCATTCTTTACACACGCACATGTCATTATACCGTTCAATTGCTTTCTATAAAATCATCTCTTTTTTTTGACAATTTTCATAAAGACTTGAGGTTTTGTGATGTGATGATTGTGTTGTAGCAATTTTTTGAAAATTTTCTCAGTAGTTATTTTTCGATGCTGATTCAAAAAAAGGATGCAAAGTATTGTCATCTAAAGATTGTACTATCCTGTCCCCTTTTTACTTTATTATTTTAAAATGTGGTGTTTTCATTTTTTTCTTTCTTTTTTTTTTTTTTTTTTTTGAGACAGTGTCTCGCTTTGTCACCCAGGCTGGAGTGCAATGGCACAACCTCAGCTCACAGCAACCTCCATGTCCCAGGTTCAAGCGATTCTCCTGCCTCAGCCTCCTGAGTAGCTGGGATTACAGGCACCTGCCACCATGCCTGGCTAATTTTTGTATTTTTAGTAAAGACAGGGTTTCACCATGTTGGTTAGGCTGGTCTTGAACTCCTGACCTTGTGATCCTCCTGCCTTGGCCTCCCAAAGTGCTGGGATTACAGGCGTGGTGTTTTCTATTAATCTAAAAGTAACATACGAGAGAATCCTTCTGTAGAAGAATGAATTATAAAAGATCTTGGTTTACATCAACCAAACAATTTCTTCTAGGATAAGTCAAGCATAAGGCTCATGAGCCACATGTCTCTTCACTCTTTCTTCCTAATACCTAACATATAAGCGTCAGCATGCCATTCTTCATTCTGTTCATACTACCTTTGAAAACCTAAATGCGACTTCTATCCCAAAATGACAGTAGTGTTTTCACAAAATCTGTCATCATTTATCATTCTTTGCCTTCACTCAACTTTATGGTTTTTCCATAAATCTTTTTTTTTCTTGACTAATTCCTCAAGGCCAGAATGTAAGTTCCTATTGGTTGGACTTGTTATGTTTTGTTCACTGAGGTTTCTCCAGCTCCTGCTAGCCTATTATAAGCACTCACTACAAATTCATTTTTGCATGAATGAATAAATGAATTACCAAATAATATTGTGTAAGTATTCTCACAGTCAATATATAATCAATAATATATAATGTGTTTTTTCTTACATAAACCATAGTCTAACTTGCTTTTCTTATACAAACCATAATCTAACCTGAATGTCACCTGGCATAATTCTTTATCTTCATTCATCCAATTCACATTTTTACAGTTGCAGGTAGTTTTTCATTCACTCAAACATTTATAGAGTACCCACTATTGGCTAATCATTGCTTTAGTGGCTGGGATACATCAATAAACAAGGAAGAAAAAATTATCTGCCTTGTGAGTTTAATTCTGATGAAGGCAGGCAGACAACAAATGATAAATACCATAAATAATTAAGGAATTCAGAAGAAGTAGGAAGCTATGGGAAAAAAAGAGAGTAGCGTAAGGAAATCAGGACGCAGGGAGAAACACTGACTTGTTTTGTTTTGACTATTACATAATCTTCTCAATGTATGAAAACAAGTTCTAGACTGTGTCTTTTACTTCTTATGAAGAGGGAACTGACAACTTTTTCATTTAACTGTGTGCTGAAATACACTAATTAGAATAACTAAAAAACTAGCAAAAATACAGGGAATGATAGAGTCTATACAAAACAAAATCAGAATAATATATTTATGTATGTTTCTGGTGCTGGGGGTTCTTGGAATTTCTTGTACAAGCCGATGTGTTGGTCTATTAAAATGTGTATGAGGCTCATAAACATAGCTTTATTTTTACCTTCTCATTGTTTGTAAAAACAATTTAGTGAATATGGGGAAATACTTTAAAGAGGGGGAGTGGAGTGAGAGGATAGTTTGATCTCACTCTTCAAAGGAACAACTTAATAAAAGTTGAACTATTTCCTTCCATTCTTTTTTCTACTTGGTCTTTATTTTAATTACACAGGGATGTATGCTCATTGTAAAAGACAAAACAGTCCAATTTTATAGGGGTATATAAAGTCAATGCAAAGTCCTCACAGTATTGAGAAGAACATCAAATTTGTGTTCTCCTATTTTGATTCGCCAAAAAAAAGTTAATATATACATTTCTGTTTCACAAGTCTGAAAATGCACGTCTGTTTGGACAGGTATGTAGAAGAATGCCCTGTGGGCAGAGAAATGAAGGAGACTTTCATTTTTGACCTTTTTATTTGAATATTGGCATCAAGTATGTTATATTTTCAGACTTAAAAACATTTTTAAGATGCGAGAGATACGTAGAATTACTTCACAAACTAATTAGTGCACATTAATATGGTTAACATCCAGTAAATCATGTAGTAAATATTAATTTTCTATCCAAACCTACAAGGAGAAAACGGTTTGAAGCCTAGTTTGAACATCCAACTAATGATGTGGGAATAACCAAGAGGAATGATACACACTTCCCCCTTCTAGGAAAAACTTTCATTAGAAGATTTTTTCCTGACCCCATTCGTAAGAACATTCATCCCATGTATTGTATTTCCCAGCTTCTTCCAATCCAATCCTGTCATGGCTCTCTCTGAACCCAGCTTCCCGCAGCACAAGGTGCTCACCTGTGGTGTCCTCTTGCAAGCCAACATCAAAAGCCAGCTTATCAGTTGAAGACCGGGAGGTGGACAGGCAGCACAGATACTGCAAAATACAAAATCAGTAGTTGTAAGTAGAGGCTTTGTTTGTCTGTTGTTTTTGAGACAAGGTTGCTCTGTTGCACAGGCTGGAAGTGCAGTGGTGGGATCACAGCTCACTGCAGCCTCAACCTCCTGGGCTCAAGCAATCATCCCACCTCAGCCTCCTGAGTAGCTGGGACTACAGGGACATGCCACCATGCCCAGCTAATTATTTTCTTTTTTTGTAGAGATGGGGTTTCACCATGTTGCCCAGGCTGGTCTCGAACTCCTAGACTCAAGTGATCCTCCTACCTCAGGTTCCCAAGTAGCTGGGGCCACAGGTGTGCACCACCACATCCAGGTAATTTTTTTTTTTTTCATGGAGATGAGATCCCCCTATGTTGCCAAGGTGATCTCAAATCCCTAAACTCAAGCAATCTCCCACCTCCACCTCCCAAAGTGCTGGGATTATAGGCATGAGCCACAGCGACTGGCTATCATTAAGGTTTACAGTTGTACCAGGAGAGTCTTATTTTGACCTGTAATTTGGCATCCATCTATCCCTGCTGTTCTTAGTGTTTTCCTGAAAATCTCGATGCTTCTGCACAAAGCCCAGATTTTTAAATGTCTGTGAGGCAGAACAGCATGCATTAGGGGCAATATCCTAAAGGAATTGTAGTCTTTTTTCCCTTATAAAAGACTAAGGAAATGTTCTCTGTCAGTACAGGAAGACAAGTAACTGGGGATGTATTTGTACATCTCTCACTTCATGTGATATTCATGATCATCTGCAAAAGTACAATGTAATCTGACAGTTAGAAATCTTTCTCCCAAACAAATTTGAAGACTATTCTCTTTTATCTTCTAGCTTTGTTTTCATTTAAAAATGTTTAACTCTTTGAAATCCACCTAGAATTTATTTTGGTGCACAGCATGTCATTGCACTAAAATGAGATTTATTGTGTGTCTCCATACATGTGCATTTTCCACAGGAGTAATCACTCTTGAACACCGTCATCTCCTTATTCTTCCCACCCTCAGGTGTTCCTAACTGTATATTCTTGGACATCAAGTTTAGGATCACTTTTCAAGCCTACTGCTCCCCAACCTCCATGCCACAACGTGTTGTAAGAACACAGACACAAAGATGAATGTGATGTAAGAACAGAGACACAAAGATGAATGTGTTGTAAGAACAGAAACACAAAGATAAATGTGGTAGGATCTCAAACTACACTACCATCACCAAGCAAGTGCACTGCCAGCAAGCCCCCTTTCAGATCACTAGAAAATTAATGCAAAGGCTAGAAATTTCTTATGATGGTATAGGGCCTATCCAGCTAAGTGTGTGTCTGTGAGTGTGAGAAGGCAGATGGACCAATCAGTGGCCGATATGCTGGTATGTTACGTGGAATTCAGGGTCATGGGGATGTGAAATGCAGACTCTGATTCTGACTCTTAACTAAAAAGCAATGGCTCCCAAGGTTATAGTCAAGAGGCTTCAAGGGTCCCTAAACTTGTTTTTAGCCACAGCTGAAGTGTCAGTCTGACCTCAAGACAGGCAGCCCACGATAATCCCCTATGTTTATAGACTTTAAATATAAACTGTGCTTAACATCTGCCTTTATTTTTTAAAAAATTAACAACTTTGCAATAATCAGACTTCCTAGACAAAAATAAAGTGATTCCTATTAAAGTCTTCTATAGTTTTTTCTAAAACAGTACAGTACTAGGCACTGTAACGATTAACATATGCTTTCTTCTTAGTGTTTCCAGTAACTCTGAGGTAGATACAATGATTATCCCACTAAGTGTTCATTAAAGAGAGCAAGAACTTGGTCTTAGTCACTACTATATCCAGGACCTAAAACAGTACCTAGCACATAGTAGATGCCAAATAATATTTATTTAATTAATGTATAAACATTTCAGATGTAATTATAGGCTTAATTATGCAAAATATCCAGGCTGGCCAGCATGTAGCAAACTGAATCCAAATCTAACAACCAAGTTCAGGCTCTTAACCCAACTATTATGTATAGAGAGTAGTTGTCTTAAAAGAAACCCTCACATTTATTATTTCATGCAGTTCATGTGTTTTGATTGCTGTAGAATGTGGAATTCTTTCCATAAAATTTTAATATGTGATTACTCTATACAAATTGTTTTTACATATTTTTCTTACATCCAACCACTTTATGAAACTGTTTTATGTTATTTTATATCTTGACATGTCAGCCAAAATTTCCAGAACAATGATAGTCAGCAATGGTAAATAAAACACATTCTTATTTTTATTTTAGTTAATTTGATTTTAAAAATGGCTTCAGCACTTCACAATTACAATGTTCACTATTGATTTGACACTAATAATCTTTATCTCTGAGGAAATAATCAATGTTTAGTTTTTATTAAGAATGAGCATCGAGTTTTATTAACAACCTTTTCCAGCACTTGCTAACATGATCACGAGTTTTCTTATCTGACCTATTTATGTGATATAACACATTAAAAGAAATGATATATTAAATCATCATTAAAATCACGTCCATGTATTTCCTATACTTCTCATCCTATACTTTTGAATTTCATTAAATAGACAATTAAAATAAAGTTATCACGTAAATATCCATGATTGAGGTTGAAAATTTGTGTGTGCTTGTTGGATAGTGGTATTGATACCTAGTCTTCTGCTATAGAACAATTTACATAATATGGGAATCACCTACTTTTTAAAAGGAATGATCAAGTATATTATTATAGATATTGTATAATATTCTAGATATTGAACTATCATGTAGCCACTAAAATTATATTGACAACTTAAACAACATGGAAAATGCTTATGTTACAAGAAAAGGAAGAAAAAAGTCACGCCGGGCACAGTGGCTCATGCCTGTAATCCCAGGACTTTGGGAGGCCAAGGCGAGATGATCGTTTCAGCCTGGGAGTTCAAGACCAGCTTAGGCAAGATGGTGAGACTCCCATCTCTACAAGAAATTTAAAAATTAGCCAGGCGTGGCAGCAGGCGCCTGTAGTCCTAGCTACTCAGGAGGCTGAAGCAAGAAAATCGTTTGAGCCCAGGAGTTCAAGGCTACAGTTAGCCATGATCATACCACTGCACCTCAGCCTGGGTGACAGCAAGACCCTATCTCAAAAAACAAAAGGATATAAATTTGGTAATGTAGTAAGATCTCAATTTTGTTAAAAAAAAAAAAAAAAACCCTTAGGACAGAAGAGATTAAAACTTTTTTTAAAAGCCTCCAACATGGAGCTTGCAGTGAGCTGAGATCCAGCCACTGCACTCCAGCCTGGGCGACAGAGCGAGACTCCGTCTCAAAAAAAAAAAAAAAAAAAAAGCCTCCAACAGTTTTTTCCTATTAGTGTCATCAGAATTTTTCTTCTGCAACTTTCAAATCATATAGACTATGTATTGCTTTTATAATTTAATAAAGCTGTTAAAAGAATGGAATGAGGCCAGGCGTGGTGGCTCACGCCTGTAATCCCAGCACTCTCGGAGGCCGACATGGGCAGATCACGAGGTCAGGAGATTGAGACCATCCTGGCTAACACGGTGAAACCCTGTCTCTACTAAAAAAATACAAAAAAAATTAGCCGGGCGTGGTGGCGGGCGCCTGTAGTCCCAGCTACTCGGGAGGCTGAGGTAGGAGAATGGCATGAACCCAGGAGGCAGAGCTTGCAGTGACCTGAGATCACGCCACTGCACTCCAGCCTGGGTGACAGAGCGAGACTCCATCACAAAAAAAGAAAAAGAATGGAATGAAACTTTTGCATAATTTTTTACATATTTTATGTACAGTTGACCCTTGAACAACACAGGTTTGAACTGCCCAGGCCCACTTCCTAAGATGTTCTTCCCCGCTCTACCATTCCTGAGACAGCAAAACCAATTCCTCCTCTTCCTCCTCCTTAGCCTATTTGACACGAAGACAATGAGAATGAAAGTCTTTGTGATGATCCATTTCCAGTTAATGTATAGAAAATCTATTTTTCTTTTGATATACTTAATGGTTTCTTTTCTCTAGCTTCCTTTATTACAATTCAGCACATAATACATATACAAAATACATGTTGGCTGGTATCGGTAAGGCTTCTGGTCAACAGTGGGATATTAATAGTTACCTTTTGAGGGAGTCAAAAGTTATATGTGATTTTCTACTGTGCAGGAGATTGGCACCCTAACTCCTGTGTTGTTCAAGGGTCAGCTGTATATGTAATATCTAAGAATACATTAAAGAATTTATAAAATATATTTTTAAAACATTTACATATATACATATCTACATATACACACGTATATTTGTGCATATATACATGAGGCAGAGAATGAGAAAACTGTGCCCAAGAGAAGCCTAATGAATAACTGGGTGAAAGGAGGAGCAGATGTGGAAACAGAGAAACCCGGTGAAGAAGAAAAAGAAGTTGGTGAGTACAATTAATACCGGAGCTCAGAGGTAGATTTTCTTAAATCTGATCTTTCAATAAAGATACTTTATTTCTCTAATAAATGAACTCTTTAAAACAAAATCTGAAAAGAAATATCTCTTATTTGACTCTTACACCTCTCTCCTCCTAAAACTACTCTACCAAAAGTAAGATACTAAACATGGTAAGCATATAATGATAGAACTGAAGGACCTTAAAAGTCATGTGAGCTGACTTTCGCCTTTTACACGAGAAACTAACAAGGGTACAAAGATATTAAAGAATACATACATCCAAGCTCATTGATACCATTGCAGAAATGATGCTACCAGCATTTTCTGACCATTTTCCGATCCCCAAATGGATCAGCATGACCACAGGGAGATGAAATAAAACGCGTACTCACCATGCCACTGTAGGAATGGCGCAGCAATATGGCATGTCCGTAGAGGAGTGTTCGATGACCACCACCTTGAGCAGTCTTTAGAGAGAAGAGAAAAAAGGAGAACAAAAGAGAAAAACACAAAAGGGTAACTTAACTCGCAAGTCGATAAAATACTCTCTTGTTCTTAAAGGAACGTTAGTAGGAAAGAATGCATTAAGAACTCTTGCAGACAAGCAAAGTGCTGTTGAAATAATGTGTACATTGGAATAAAGTTCATGTAACCTCTATTATGGGGTTTTATCTAGTTCAAGAATAGCATTTTATCTAGTTCTTGAATAATAAACTTGGTATCAGTAAATAATTATCATAATTTATAGTTATTTATTCATAATGTACTTAATTATAATCTGTTTCCCATTATATTACAGTTTCCATTGGGTGGGAACCATGGTACCTTCGTCACCATTGTATTCCAGGTGCCTACCTACACGCCAGACATACAAGAAGCACTAAATAAATGTTGATTCAGGCCAGGCACGGTGGCTCACGCCTGTAATCCCAGCACTTTGGGAGGCCGAGGCGGGCAGATCACCTGAGGTCAGGAGTTCGAGACCAACCCGGCCAACATGGCAAAACCCTGTCTCTATTAAAAATACAAAAATTAGCCGGGCATGGTGGTGCATGCCTGTAATCTCAGCTACTCGGGAGGCTGAGGCAGGATAATTGCTTGAACCCGGGAGACAGAGGTTGCAGTGAGCTGAGATTGCACCACTGCACTCCAGCCTGGGCAACAGAGCAAGACTCCATCTCAATAAATAAATAAATAAACATTGGCTCAATGAATGAGTCTTCCTAAAACACAAAAATGATCATAACGCCTCCAGGCTTAAAAACTTCTCATTCCTCCCAGCTGCTTACAGGAAAGAGTCCAGTCAATCCCTTTCCATGAAATAGAAGGGTGCTTCTTAAATTGGAGAGCTTGTAAAAACACAGATTCCCGGCCCTTACCACTGGGATTTTGATTCAGTAGGTCTGGGGTAGTTACAGAGAAGTTTCATTTCAGTGACTTTCCAGGTGATGCTGATGCTGTTGGTCCAGAGACCCCTTTGAGAAGTACAGAGAGACTTTGTCTCACTCATCTCTAGTCTCATCTTCAATCACCCTGTGTCCAAACATACTCACTTTCCCTTCCCTGAGTATGCCATACTGCTTTCATGCTGCCCTGTCTCCAAACACAACTTTCCCTCTCCCTCTAGTCTTCTCTGCCGTATAAAGCCTTTTTAATAAGAAAGCCTCCAATAGTTTTTTCCTCTTAGTGTAACTGAAGGATTTTTCTTCTGTAACTTCCAAACTGTATAGAATAAATATGTATTGATTTGATAATTTAATAAAGCTTTTATAAGAATGGAATGAAACTTTTACATATTTTACGTACATGTGACTTTGAACGACACAGGTTTGAATTGCACAGGCCCATTTATACTCAGATTTTTTCCCCCTCTACTTTTTAAAACTCAGATTAAAGACTACCTCCCTCTATGAAGCCTCATCCAGTTTCCTCAAAGCTAGTCACTCTCCCCATCCTCCTGCAGCCCTAGGTATACATCTGTACATTGACCTTACACTCTACCCAAGAACCCTCCTCCCCTTGAGCAGACTGAAAACTCCTCAAGGACAATGACACTGTGCTGATTATCATTTCACCTCCAGCTTTGAGTGTGAGATCAGGCCATGGTAAGCACTCAGCAGAGGTGTCAAATGAAAAGCTGGATATGGGGAGGCCCACTTCAGGCTGAGTGAGGAGTATGTATACAGGGGTCATGGTATATAATCATAAGGTGTGTAAGAAGGAGGAATCAATCATGGAATTTCAGTGTTGGGTTGCACAGGAAAACTTCACAGGAATTATAAAATTAGATCAGGGAAAGACCATGGAAAGCACAGAATATTATGACGAGAAATCTGTACTTCTGTTTGCAGGAAAAGGAGGTCTTTAAAAATTTTCAGAATAAGAGTGATGACACTGACCTGTGCCTTAAGAAGTACAGAAAGATGCTTCAATATCCAATATTATTATAACCTTTTTACTAAACATATATCACATTCTTGTTGTTCCATATAACTTCTTAAAATAACTTTATGTTTTGCTTGAAAAAACTCAGAACTATTCTAAAAACAGATATTAAAAGGTATTAAAATAAGAAAAACTGCTGAAAAAAAATCCACTTTTTTTCGGGGTCCGGACGCAGTGGCTCACGCCTGTAATCCCAGCACTTTCGGAAGCCAAGACGGGTGGATCGCGTGAGGTCAGGAGTTCAAGACCAGCCTGGTCAACATGGTGAAACTAAAATACAAAAGTACAAAAATTAGCTGGGCGTGGTGGCAGGCACCTGCAAGCCCAGCTACTCTCAGGAGGCTGAGACAGGAGAACGGCTTGAACCCGGCAGGCAGAGGTTGCAGTGAGCTGAGGTCGCACCACTGCACTCCAGCCTGGGTGACAGAGCAAGATTCTGTCTCAAAAACAAAAACAAAAAACCAAAAACAACAAAAAACCACTTTTTTCACATAACTGAGAAGAAAAGGGAAAAATCTACTTTGAAAAACTATACTCCTGCCAGGTGCGGTGGCTCACGCCTGTAATCCCAGCACTTTGGGAGGCCGAGACGGGCGGATCACGAGGTCAGGAGATCGAGACCATCCTGGCTAACACGGTGAAACCCCGTCTCTACTAAAAATACAAAAAATTAGCCAGGCGTGATGGCGGCGCCTGTAGTCCCAGCTACTTGGGAGGCCGAGGCAGGGGAATGGCGTGAACCCAGGAGGCGGAGCTTGCAGTGAGCCGAGATTGCACCACTGCACTCCAGCCTGGGCGACAAAGCGAGACTCCAAAAAAAAAAAAAAGAAAGAAAGAAAAACTATACTCCTTCAGAGAATGAGGCTCTCTTTAGAGAGCACTTATTTTTTCTATAATGCATTTGATTTATTGTGGCCAAGAACAATTTTATTTACTTGGTCTGGTTTGAATTACTTTGATAGAAGCTCACCTTTTCATACCAGATTGAAGTTCCAAAGCTGTAAAATCCACAAGAACTTTAATAACACTTGACAGCCACGCTAGTCAAAACAAAATTTTTTTAAGTGAAGGACAAGGCCTTGAAGTTAACCAGAGAAGTGCTCCTTTACCGTAAAGCTTTGCCTACACATTTCATTTATTTATTTATTTATTTATATAGTGTGTGTGTGTGTGTGTGTGTGTCTAGAGGTTTTTAGGTTTTTTTTTTATATATATATATAATTTACACACACACACACATATATATATAGTATGTGTGTGCGTGTGTGTGACTAAAGAGGTTTACATACACATTAAAATTACTGGTTCTATATTTTGTTCTTTCTGGTTTGCTTTTTTTGCTTTTGGGCTCCGTGTTTTTTAAATACAGCCAACTGTATTTTAAAAAAGCATGAGGCAAAGTGCCTCATGCTTGTAATCCCACTACCTAGGAGGCTGAGGAAGGAAGATCACTGGAGCCCAGGAGCTCCAGGTTGCAGTGAGCTATCCACTGTACTCCAGCCTGGGTGACAGAGCAAGACCCTGTCTCTTAAAAAATAAGATAGTGAATCACACAATGGGGTCACTGAAGGATTATAACAATCAATGAGAATCCTGGCCTTGGTTGAAATAAAGGTGCCTGAAAAGGCCAGTTTGACATTGTCAAGACATCCGTTTGACACGGACTGGCTTACTTGGGATGGTGATTTCATGGAAAGTCTCCACAGGGAACAGATCAGGCTTAGGACAGTCCTAATGCACCACTATTTAGCACCAACCAGCAGAAATAGGCTCCCACAACAAGAAAGCATCCATCTGGTTCTAAGAAGTTAATGCCTTTTCCGTACAAAACCCAAAGCAAAGCATGATTGAAAGGTGAAAGCGAGATAAAATTCAGCATGTTTTTCTGTTTAAGTGACTTAAATTACTGTAATTTACATGCATATGCCCTCCCCTTAATCCAATTCTAACCTTTCCAGATCATCCACTGCAAGTGTGAAAATAACTATTGGCCTTCTGGCCTCGAAGTTAAAAGAACTGGGGGTCTAATTAAATTATTTTAGGCATACCACCTGCTTTTAACTAATTCTACATCATCTTTCTATTTGCACTGGTTTTTACACGCATTTGTTCTCACAAGAGACCTTAAGATGTCTGTTCCAGGCAACCATTTCATTCACCCTTCCCAAGGGGAAGTCTATACAGTATGGTACAGTTGAATTAAGAATGAGATGATAAAATGAATACAGCAAATGCAGATTTAGCATGAAAAACTAAAGTTTCTCAAACCCATAATCATAAGCTAGTTATTAGTATTTGCAAAGAGAGGAAATATTCCTATTTTGCTGTTTTTAATATTTTTGCAATCCAAACTCTTGTTTCATGATATGTCTAATTTAGGGATTAATGTCCTCTCTTCAAAATGTGATCATATTTTCTACTGAAAAATAAGAGCTAGAGTTCTTGGAAATTCTGGAAGATGTTCCATGTCCTGGTTGATAGATGTCTTCAAAGAAATGCACTGTTCTGTCATCCCATCCAAAATGCCAAATTCTTACTGGTAGTGAACAGGTCCAGTTTAGGGTATCCCGCAATGCACCTGGTTCAGTTTTATTAAACATGATGGATTTAACCACAAAATTCAACAGACAAGAACACACATCCCTCACTTCAAAGCCACCTTTTCCATCTATATGTGGGATTTTGATTTAATATTTCTCACAGTCTATTTCTTTCAAAATTATCACTTATTTTAAGGCTTTCTTAACTGAATATCAATTTTTCTACCTACCCATTGTTTCTTGGCTTTTAAGATTAAAAAAATTAAACCCCATAAATGTTATAGGAGAAATGTAGTGGGCATATGAAAATGAAACAAAAATTTTCTATTATATATCCTAAAATAACCATAGTCTACTCTTCTTCCTGTCTGTCCCTTACATATTCCTTCGATGACACATCCACATGCTTCACTCTTTTCTTTTTATTTGTCTACTTTTACAATATTTTCACTTTTCCAATCCAGTCGAGAAATGAAAAGGGGCTGGCTGAATTATTTTCATGTCTCCTGGAGTAAGTAGAAGTAGTTTCTTGGTGCCTCCCCTAATTTCCCAGTGGAAGAATTTCCCATTGTATTCATACAAAAGTGCGTAAATGCAAAGTCAACATAATCCCCAGAGTGAACATTCTAAATGGAGAGTTATTAAAATTGTTTTAATAAGAGAAATTCTTAATGTTAGCTAATTAAACATGTTACAATATGACCCAAAAATGTCAAATTTTGGTTTGACATTTTTGTTTGTTGAGCTATTAAATCTAAACGTGTGATTTATCTAAATCTAAAAGCTCCAAAGGTTAATATTTAAACGTTTTAAAGCATGTGAAGAAAAGTTACATGGATTCAAAAGTAAAACAAATGTGTGTAACCATACATAAAACATACAAAGTATCACACATATACAGCTGATATATAGTAATATATATATGTTACTTATATAATACAGCTATACTAATATGCAGATATATACATATATAATCCATATATAGTAATATATCTGCTATCTATACACAGCAGATATATTACGATGTCTTACCTTCATCATGAATTTCTGTAGGGGCATAAGGAAAAGAGAGGAAACATTAAATAGACATGATCTCAAAGATTTCCTTAAAAATACCTCTTACTTATAAAGGCTCCATTATCCTAAATGGAGCTATTTAAACAATAAACATAAAAAAACACATTCACCGTGTCATCGCAACAAAACTTAGTATCAACTACATGCTAGAGAAAAGCTGTAGCGAGCAAAATTCTTTTAAAAAGTTTTTACATTAGTTTCTTCCTTTTTCTGTGAAAACATGCTGCTCTACTTTAATGAGTGATTCCATTTACAACCTATTTAAGCACCAAAAACAATATCGTCTTAAAAATTGATCATCTGAAAATGCTTTTTAAAAACCAACTTTCATCTTTTTCATAAAAATGCAGTGATAAAAGCAAACAGCAACTCAACTCATTTTAATAAAAACAGTAGATAAAAACAGGTAAGGGAGATCGTAAACTAATACGCTGCAATGAGAGGCTCTCATTTCATGCAAAATAACAGTAAGCAATTTCTTAGACACTGAATATTATGAAAGGTGAATTTCAAAGAAAAATCACAAAAGCATTTCTATTTCTCTTAAAATGACACAGTCTCCTTTCATAAATTATATAATAGCTCTTTTTTTCTTCTATAAGATATAATGTGTATTATGTGTGTGTGCATGCAAATCTACAAATAACTTCATTTTTCTTTAGACCTCTAAAGTTTCTTTGACTTCTTATTCCTAGGATAGTTACACAGATGAAAGAGTACGAAAAAGAAAACAATGATATATTTCCAAACTTAGGGCTGAATTTAGTTGTCAGGTTGATGTCTAAGTCCTATGGAGAAAAGATATCATAGAGACACTAGTTGTAAGAAAAATAGCAAGGAAACGTTTTCCAATATAGATATTTGTAAATATTACAATTTTTTGTAACTTATTTGCTAACTTACTGTAAGCAAAAAATTACATTCTCCACACCCAAAGAGGCTGCTTTCTTCAATATTTATCTTTATGTGTTTCTTGTACGTAAGGGATGGCTATATGGCCAATGATAGTCATGGATTCCAACCAGCTTTGTGTCTTAGATTTTTTTGGATGATTAATTTGCACAGAAACACAAAGGTGGAAATTTTAGTTCTTTAGGCTAAAACTGCAGGTGTCAGTAACTCAGTGTCCTAGGTTTAGATTAATCCAGAATTGACAGGTCAGAGGGAGCTCCAAATACAAGCAAAACCTGAGGGCACATGCTACATTAACATGGAAGTCAAGCAGAGAAATTGCTATTGCTACATTTTAACACATAGATGGCCCTGGGTGTCAAATGGATGACAAAAAGAAGCAGAATCGTCTTTTGTCTATAAGCATAAGCTAAGGCACTTTCCTAGCAAACGCAAATGATTATGAACAGAGAAAACAAATCAAACGGCAACACTTTACTCTGAAAATTGCTAACAAGTACTGGATATCAAGAGAATGCATGTTTAATCTGCTCTTGGTGCAAAGAAGGAAACAATAATTCAGGTGATGTAGAAGAGCTCCTCTATCATAATGATGCCTTTCAGTTCAACCTTGGTTTTTTAAAACTGGTATTTCAGTTTCATGAACTAAAATCTGATTTTTAAACAGTCACACTTCTAAAAACCTACCTTAGAACTTTAAAAAAAAAAACTGTTATTGAAATGTCTCCTCAAAAATTACATAGATAAGGATTTAGTGACAAAGCACCAAACATTTGGGGGCTTGCCATTAAAAAGGATTATCAAGTGCAACAATTTCAGAATAGCCTCAGAAGTCATTCTAGCATGAAGTTTCCATTAAGAAGGCAAAATGCCCTACTCTGCACACAAAATATGCATCAAATTTAAGCCTTTTTGCCATCTTTTCCTCTCCACATATCAAGATGCTAGGATTCTCCATAATTCTCCAACTGGTAACCTCTCCTTTGTGAGGAAAGATCAGGTAAATTTCATTATGTTGAGAAAACAAGGATATTTCACCATCAAAGACTAGGATTTCTAGGTAGCAATAATTAATTAATGATAGTCCCAACAATTTTTAGGAGAAAAAAATTAACAATAACAATTCTGAGTTTCAAACATATATCAACATATACTATCTAATAGCATTTGAGATTGAAAAGCTTCAACTATTGCTCTTAAGATGAAAATACCTGGCTGGGTGCAGTGGCTCATGCCTGTAATCCCAGCACTTGGGGAGGCCAGGGCAGGAGTATGTGCTTGAGCCCAGGAGTTCAAGACCAGCTTGGGCACCATAGTGAGACACTGTCTCTACAAAAAATCAAAAAGTTAGCCAGGCATGGTGGCACATGCCTGTAGTCCCAGCTACTCAGGAGGCTGAGGTGGGAGTATCACTTGAGTCACACTCCAGCCTGGGTGATAGAGCAAGACCCTGTCTTAAAAAAATCTATATAAATCCTATGGAAATGTTTCACTTTCTAGGATTCCCCTGCTAAAAATGTCCAAGATGCTCTGAAAAGACAGACATGTTGATTACAGGTACAGAAGTCATCTGAAAGAGACTTGTCTATCAGCCCATGAATGAGCAGTTACACACATAATAACACATTCCACTGAAATGCCCTTGTATCACTCCTATTAATGACCATCACTGGAATCTAGTTATGTGAGATGCAGATATGTTTAAAAAGAATTCATTCTGTTCTTTGGCAGATCTGCAGCAACAGTTTTTTTCAGCCTATCAACAGCTCTGTACAGACAGTAGTTAAATGGAATGTCTTTTCTTTCCAGTATAATAAATTTGACATATATATGTACATATAATTATGTAGTTCTTCTTCAGAAGGGTAAAGAAAAATAAATGATTCCGATAAGCTACTATAAGTTCTCACACTTCATCTCTGTGACACGTTTATAAAGCAAAGAGCTGCATAAATGCCTAAAACATGAAATAGAAGAGGTATCTAGGGCTTTCTTCATTTCCCAGCTTGTCTCAATAGAGAATTTCTCTAAATCAAAAGCAACACATTGATTTCTACAGAGGGCAAATGGATAATAATGTCCTGAAGACATATAGAGCTTTCCCTCTATTCAGATCATCACCTACACACAAAAAATTGCCCATATCAGAATACAAAGACTCCATATATTTTTAAAAACAATTTCAAACATGAATGAACCTTGACAGGATGAAGGCATTTTGCAGGTTCTCCCATAATAGCCATTGTGTGTTGAAATGCATTTTTAAACAACTCTCTGGTTAGAAACATTTGACATGATTATAGATTTTAACAATCACAACAGCATCATCATATTTTTTAAGAGAAACTACATGTATAAGACAGCACTCAGTCTATAGACAATGCTTCATAGACAACGATCTCACAGTCCGTTCCATCCTTTTGCTGTCTTCACCCCACTCATGACCTGAATCCTAGGCCTCCACACTGGAAACCATTGCTATAGGTTAGAAAAGGGCTAGGAGTGGAATAGATGGAAATGACCATTAGTTACTTTCTTATCCAGTACTCCAAAGTTTTATTCTCTTTTAAAGGGTAAAGAGCAGCATTTGATAACTCAGTGGGCTTATGATTAAACAGATGCACAGCTGCTCAAAGAGACAGTGATGAGGGAGAGAAGGAAGGAGATGAAGGCAGGAAGGGAATTAGGGAAAAGGGGATGGAGGGAGGGAGGGAGAAAAAGAGAAAGAAAGAGAAGGTAATTGATGGACCTTTGATGTAACTATCCAGAATAATATTATCAGGAGATTTATACAGAAGCCATTTTAATTTCCATATATATTCCAAAAGGCGTGTAATACACCTAACCTACAGAACATTACAGCTTAGCTTAGCCTTAGTTTTGTAAGGCTCCCAAAGGTCTTAATCTGGCAGTGGCAAATGCACCCTGGACAAGCAAATATAACAGAAGTTAAAACTGCACATCTGTCCCAAAACAAAACAATGACCAGTCTCCAAAGGGGATTTACAAGAAGGTCCCTGACTTAAAATGGTTCTATTTGTGATTTTTCAACTGTACGATAGCATGAAAGTGATTTGCATTCAGCAGAAACTGTACTTTGAGTACCCATAAACCACTGTTTTTGACTTTCAGTATAGTAGTCAACAGATTACATGAGATATTCATCATTTTAATAAAATAGGCTTTGTGTTAGATGATGTCGTCCCACTGTAAGCTAATGTAAGTGTTCTGAGCATGTTTAAGGGAGGCTAAGCTAAGCTATAATGTTCTGTAGGTTAGGTGTATTACATGCATTTTTCACTTACGATATTTTCAACTTCTGAAGGGCTTTTCAGGATATAACCTCGCCCCAAGTGGAGGACCACCTGTACTATCATGTTCCAAAACATACTATTATGCCATCTAAGCAGAGATGCCAAAGAGGGTGGCTGCAAATCCACTGGCTGCCTTTAGCTGACTGCCCACCTCCAGTGTGTTATTAGAGGCCAGACAGCAAAGAGACGGTTTCTTGGAGAGAAGTGCAGGTGGACCTTGAATCCTGCCTGCCTCCCAAGCTTGCCCTCACTTCAAGCCTAGCAAGGGTGGCTTCAGGGATACCAGATGTCCCTGGGATATGGGACACCGTAGACGGGTGTCTGACTGTGCCTGGAGACTGTGAGGCAAAAGGCTGGGTACAGCCCTATAGGGCTGCAATCGGGAAGTGACCACACTGCCAACAAGCAAATGGGGGTCATATTAGATAGATCCAGCTTGGGATTGTCTCAGAGGCCGCCAAGAACTATCAAGAAGAGGAAGGAATTGCCACTGGCCAGCTAGTGGAGACGCATTTGTCTGCAGCAAGAACACCTCAAGTCAGAGATTTCTGGGGATGGAAGCTCCCCAAAAGACCAGTGCCAAGTACCCACAGAGAAAGTCAGCATTAGAAACCTGGCAAGCCCAGTGCATGACACTATGATCAAAGCAGACCTTTCCTGCCAAGCTTTCTCTTCTGTCTCCTTCCCACAGCACCTGAGAGTGGCAGACTCTCTGGGTACCAAGTAGGGCGTGAGGAACGCGGCAGGACAAGCAAGAAACAGCTTCCCAGATATCCCTCCCTCCAGCTCTACCCCAGACAAGTTAATTGAATTAGCTTCGAGTTCGCCTATTATACAGGTTTGGGCATTTTAGTTACTGAAATGAGATCTGTATGACTTGAAATGTCTGTAGGGTATTTCACTCTTGGAATACGAGAAAGGTCATGGGACCGGTTCTAATTTAAGCCAAGGGGCAGAGGAGTACCAGCCCCACAGAGCAGTCTCAACAGTCCTTGGTTAGGTGGGTAGAGGGTTAAATTATTTTCTGTTGGCCTTCAAGGTATATCTGTAACAGCAGAATTTCAAACTTCTAATGGCCAAAGCAAAAGATATGAACTGGACAAGTCTTCAAAGAAAAAAAGAGCTCCAGTCTGAAATTTGCTGCAACATTTACACAGAATGCTCATCAGCGTTCTAAAACCCAGCAGAATCTCTTCATCATATGACTTCTAAATGAACATATATTTTGGCATCAATATGTTTAGCATTGACACAATAGTCATATTTAAGAAAAAAAGGAGTAAAGCAGATTCTAGTCCTATAGACAAAGAGACTACGGTCAATGAAGAGGCTACATAAGATTATTAAGCCAGCCACTGGCAAACTAAGCCTCAAGGTTTTCAGCGCAGAAAATATCTCAGATAGTTCCTCAGAACTGGAAAGCAATCTCTGCTGTAATGATTTACAAATAAACTTAATACAAATAAAATAAATAAATTATTATAGGAATAAGAAAGAAAAAGAAATAACACGGGCAGATCAAGAGTAACCAAATCCGCAGAGGAACGGAGGGGAAGACTTTTAGACAACGGTGAAAAGGTGATTTTATTTACTGGCAAATGCTATTTACAAAATAAGTAAAAGCAGCTTGAGTGGTTGGTCAATACCAATCCAGATATGGCACAGAAATAGTGTAATGGAAGTGAAGGGATGCAAGGATGGGAAAAGACAGAGAGCCATGTTGTAGGATGCTGATATTAGGGAAGTGCAGGACACAGAGGTGTCATGTGTGTTCTGAGAAGGAAGCAGGCTTCCCTTACCAAGACAAGAAAAATGTGAAGCTTGGATCAGCGTTTTAACTATAGCCAAAGAGGAGGGTAGGAAATGTCAAAAACAAATAGTTGGTCAAAAGTAGTAGTAGTTCAGTTACAAAGAGAGAGATGACTTTAAATTATTCTCAGCAATATAACATAGAAGTCGTAGTTTTCAAAGGTCATTAGAAGTGGTAAATTAAAAAACAAGTTTCCTTGTCTTTAAAGGGCTAAAAAAAATGTTTTAAGACAAATGAACATGAAATTGTTGGAAAACACTACTGAAAGGGCACTGGAAAGATAGCAAAATTCTCAAAATGTTGGATCCTAGGACGAGAAAAATAATGAAGATAAAATAAAGCCATCAGTTAAGTCAATCTTAAAAGATTCTTCACATAAGTCGCAGAGCAAATGAAAACAAAACATTTCAACACTGAAAAGCCTCACTGTTTTGTACTCTTGGGAAAAAGTGGAGTAGGAATATCAGTCTTGAGGAGACTTGGATTTCCATTCAGAATCCTGGTGTGTTAAATATTGGAAGGTACCTTGGTGTATTTCCTCTCTCCTTTATTTTTTACTAACAGATAAGGAAACCGAGACCAAAAGAAGCAACATAACTTTTTGCACTAAGAATTAGCTCTAAGAATTAGCCTCCAGAATCCTGTAACTGCCTTTTTCTACATGGTCATTCACCTTCACTGCTTAAGATTATACAGGGCCTGGCACAGTGGCTCCTGTGTGTAATCCCAGCACTTTGGGAGGCTGAGGCAGAAGGATCACTTGAGTTCAGGAGTTCAAGACCAGCCTGGGCAACATAGTGAGACTCCATCTATACCCCCCCCAAAAAAAGGTTCTATGACTATATATATAATTGTCTTCTTCTATAGTACATACAAAAATATAAGGACCAAGCAGTGGAATTTTGAGATTAAACAGTCAAGTTTGTTTGCAAAAGATACACAGTATGAATAATAAACACCTTTTGGTTGGCCAGAGCACATAATAATTACAAAACAAACTATATAAAAACTATATGGTTCTAGGGATGGAAAGTACTTTAATATGCCTCATTTCAGATGAAGCAAAACCAGAAACATAAGGTTCTCTTTAGAGACCTGTGAAACACGTGTTCATTACAACAAAGCAGTTAGTTTGAACACTAATAGTACAAGCCACCACTAGGAAGCAAAATAAAAGATTAGAGGCAATAGCAAGCATGCATTTTTAGATCACAATTTCTTTGCAAATACATGGAAACACATACCCATTTTTCCACATCAACTTGCTGTGGAAAGAAAAAGCCAAAATAAATAACAAACAAACAAATACCTAGCAATGTTTCAATGACTATCATTTAAATGAATTGATATCAATTTGGTCCTTGCACCACAATCTCTTTCCAATTCTAAAGCATAAAAAATTGTATTCAAGTTTTTAATTAACAACATTTAATCTCACCAAACAAAAAGAACTAAGTTAATTTAGCAATCAGAACTCTAAAAGACATTAGGCTGGAAATGCATCAGGTACATGAAATAATGAAAATCCAATATATTTAAAAGCAAACATGAACATTTCTAATTCTCAAATGTAATAGGCCTTCTGATTTAAGAACTACGACTCTCCTCTAATTATAAAAACTGATTTAATTAAAAAGACCAATTTAGAGATATAGTGTCTAACTGCAATTTCTCTCGCGACACTTAAAGTAAAATTTCTCTTACTCTAATCTTTCTAGCATTTCATATAATTTCATAATATAAAGGCACGCCTTAACAAATAGTTCTGAAGTTATACGGGAATCAAATTATTTTTTAAAATTGTATTTATAAATGAATCTTAGTCTCTTAATCATTATGTGGCTCTTTAAAATTTAAGTGACTATAATCATACCCACATTGTAAATAGAACAAACAAAAAAGTCATTTGTCAACCAAGACTATCTTCTACAACACCCTAGGATTCCTTGCAAATAAATCAGAATAAAAAATTTCAACATTGAGGGACATACTCAGTCTCAAAGGTAAGTTTCCTTAACTCACCTCCCATCTATAGAATGTCCTGTGGGAACTGTGGTTTGCTTCACACCCTTCATGTATGAAAGTTTCTTTGTAATTTTTTTTTTCTTAGAAAACTCATTAATTAGGTAAGAAGCTAATGCTACTTAGGCAGAAATCTTGGGCTATCAGCTAGGAATCTCCAATGCCTTGGTAAACAAGCTTTTGGGAAGCAATGTGCATAAAAAGCATCATACAGAGTGATTCTTTTAAAAACGTTATGAAGTGATATTTAAAAAATCAACCTAAATATACAGGTAGAATTTTATGAAGCCCTAATGAAATTCAATAGTTTACTTTTAACACAGCATTTTGGCTTATTTTGTAATTTACTTAGTCTTCAGAAAAATCTGTTCTAAACTTACTTCCTCCTTTGCATTTTACAAACACACTGTTGTTATTTAAGAAAAACACTTGACTGAACAGAAAGGCCTGATTTTCACTATACATTTTTCAAGATATTTTGTTGTTATAGCAAGTTGAAGATTTCCTCTCACACATTAACTTACTGGAGTGATGAATCCATTTCTTTAGATCCTAGGGCAAAGGGAAGCAAAAGAGGCATGTCCAGCATAGTGCAATTGTTTTGTGCACTTTTCTACCTCTAAAAGGGCAAATTTTTATATTTATTCTCTCCCCCCAAAAAATCTAAAAAACTTAAATGACTTCCTTTTCACATTTATCAGGAAAACAGAATATGCCATATTTTTAGTGCTATCAATGATTATCAAAAACATTGTATTTTGCCATCATCAGGTTCACTTCCGCATGTCAGTCATTCACACATACATACATACACACACCCCCACACACACACACTCCCGTCAGTGCAAAGATAAAGTTATGGGATTTTTCCAGAAGAAAGAATTTATAATCAAGAGTCATAGTTACTAATGATAGTAACAGGAGTTCTTTAATGTTCTATATTACAAAAGACACAGTTCTTCAAGGAGCAAGAATTAGGAGCAATAATGTAACAAACAGAATATCCAAATACCCAAAGAAAAGCTTAGCAACAGCATTGCTGGGAGTGAATTATCAGCTAGACACACAAGACAAGACAAATGGTCCACAGGGTTAAAAGACTAACATACAATAAAACTGTAATTATGCATAAGCAATGCAGAATGATTTCATGACACGTCTCTTGTTCTTGTTAACAGGAATCATTTAAATTCCTGCAAATGGTGAAAAGAATGATTCGAATGGAGCTAATCAAGAAAAGGAAATATAAAATTCACAGTAAACTTAACCAATTTTAGAATTTAAGCAGTTACAAATCCATAAAACATATAAGACAGAGGAACATTTTTTCCAATAACTTATCCAAGTATGTGGAATATTAAAAATATATATATGGATTTTATTAAAGAAAATGACTATTTTAATATCTGCAGGAAATTACATTAAATGTCTTATCATATTAACACTAATAAAAAGAGCAATTTCATTTCAAAATTTCAAAGTAAAAACAAAATTCCCCTTAAAAGAAACAATAGTTATTTAAACACCAACTTGATTTAGCAGAGAGGACATAAGCATCTAACACAAAATAATTATTTTTAAATTATATCACTATACGAAAGGCAGATAATCCAAACAACATCTCTATTTTTGCATTCTTTTTTTTTTTTTTTTTTTTTTTTTGACGGAGTCGCACTCTGTCACCCAGGCTGGAATGCAGTGGTGGGATCTTGGCTCACTGCAACCTCCGCCTCCTGGGTTCAAGCAATTCTCCTGTCTCAGTTTCCTGGGTAGCTGGGATTATAGGTGCCCGCCACCACACCTGGCTAATTTGTGTATTTTTAGTAGAGATGGGGTTTCACCATGTTGGCCAGGCTGACCTCGAACTCCTGACCTCAAGTGATCCACCCATCATGTGCATTCATATTTTAATTACAAATTTAGGGCACATAAACATGAGCTCTTCTATAAACTTTTTTTTAAAAAAGTTTGGTTGCTTCTTTCGAATTGATTAACTTTATTCTACTGTTTAAGATGGATAATTCTGTTGAGTTAAAGCAGTTACCGTGTGGCAGGCTTTGAGCCATACATTTTACATGTAATCTTATCATCTGCATTTTACATACTAGAAAACAAATGACATAAAGGTATTACACGCAAATCTTCAACAACAAAATAAAATGACACAAGGCTACTAAAGCTACTAAATTTTCTAGAAAGTTCATTATTATGCCTTTCCCCTGAAAGTTGCAACACACCTGGTATTGACTTTTTATGTAAGATGGTAGGGAGGGAGTTAAGAATCGTCTCCTCACCCACCCTCATGTATCTATCCAAATGACCATTTATTAAAAAAATACATCTTTTCCCCATTAGCACTGCGTCATCACTTACTAATGTGTCCAGAGACAAATGTGTGGATCTACTGATGAACTCTACCCTGGTCTATTTTTCTGTCTCTGTCCTAATACCCAACAGTCTTATTGCAACATTAAAATAAGTCTTGATATCCAGGAGTCAAAGACTAACCTTGTTCTTTTCTTCAAAGTTGTATTTAATAATCTTGCTCTTCTTCATTGAGAACTGGCTTTTTCAACTTTCATGCACACAAGAAGAAAACCTGCTGGGATTCTGATTGCGATTACATTGATCTACCCAACCAATTGGAAGAGAACTGTCATCTTTGTAATACTGAGCCTCCCAATATATGAACAGGGTATATTTATCCCTTTTTTAAGGTCATCTTTATTTTTCTCAAAATGTTTTTCAATTTTGTGTGTAAAGGTTTGCACATCTTTCATTAGAGTTATTCCTAGGTGTGTGTTGTTTTATTATACTAATATAAGTGAAATCACTTATTTTTATTTTGTAATTGCTTTTTACTAGAATATAAAAATATAACGGAACTATCTATAATGAGCTGTGACTTTGCTAAGCTCAGTTTTCCCAACTTTATTCAACATGGCCTTCAAAGAATTCAAGATTTCACCAGCTTTGCATTTGATAATTTCTATCAGTTTAAGTAACTTTTCTTACATGCCAACTTACTAATATTGCACTGAATAGGCATTTAATATTTAAAAATGTTTTTATAGTATCTGTTAAAATAAATACATTTTTCTTTTTTTCTCTTAATAAGGTAAATGACAGTAATTGGTTTTGAATCCCAACTTGGTTGTAATAGGCTATTGAGTTGATCTGTCAATGGGATGGATTTGCTAACATTTCATGGAGGATTTCTACACCTATGGTCCCTGATGCATATTAGTCTATACCTTTATTATTTTTTTTTGCAAGGACTTTGTCATAGTTTAGGATCAGGGTTATGTTGACCTCATAACATCGGCTGGGAAGTATTATGAAAGAGTTTAAGATTGGTATTATTCTTTCCTTATATGTTTGGTGGAATTAACCAGTGAGGCCATCTGGGCCTGGACTTCTTTGTGAGAAGGCTTTAATGATCAATTCATTTTATTTAATAAATGTAATTTCCCACTTCTAGTGTTAGGGTTGGTAAACTGTATTTTGCTAACACTATATTGTTTCTAGAAAGTTTTAATCTCTTTGGAATAAAGCTATTCACAGTATTCTCTTATTATCTTTTCATTGTTTAGAGGTTCTCCAGTGATTTCCTATTTTCATTCCTAATATTGTTAATTTTATATTCTCTCTTTTTTGTATTCAGTCTTTCCAAGGGCTCATCAATCTTATTAGTCGTTTCAAAAAACCAGCTATTAGCTTGGATGATTTATGTTTCTTTCTACTTCATAAATTCTGCTCCTTATTATTTCTTCTATTTCATAAATTCTGGTCTTTATTATTTCTTCTTTCTACATTTTTCAGGTTTAATATTTTCTCTTTGTGGTATTCTTGAGATATTTAGATAATTGATTATTCAGTTCTTCTTATGTATTTAGGGCCAAAAAATTCCCTCTACTCAGTTTTAACTGTATCCACAGTTTTAGCTACGTCTCATGTTTTCCACTTTATCCAATTAAAAATATCTCATCATTTGCCATTGTGATTAACTTGTTGATTCCTAGACTTATAGATTTGCAATTCCTTTCGTTACTTATTTCTTAATTATATGATAAGAAAGGAATACACTCTTATTTCAAACCTCTGAAATTTACTTATACTTCCTCCATAATCAATTTTGGTAAATGTTCCATCTGCACTTGAAACAAATGTGTACTTTCTCAGCATATGGTGCAGTGTTCTATAAATGTCAATATGTATGTTAATTAATCATGCTGTTCAGATT